AGGGTTTAGCAAGTTGAAGGATGCAATCTTAGAGTAATAAAAATTAATTATATTTCTTGGACTTCCTGGGAGCTCAGTGGATGAGAATCTACCCGCCAATGCAGGGGGCATGGATTCGACCCCTGACTGGGGAAGATTCCACGGGCTGCAAAACAACGAAAGCTGGTGCACCTCAACTACAGCCTGCAGGCCACAATTACTGAAGCCCACACACCCTCGGGGGCTTCCCAGGTGGCTAAGTGGTAAAGAATCCACCTGCCAGTGCAGAAGACACAGGCGATGCAGGTTCGATCCCTGAGTTGGGAAAATCCCCTGGAGCAGGAAATAGCAGCCCACTCCAGTATTCTTGCCTGGAAAATCCCATGGACAGTGCAGCCTGGTGGGCCACAGTCCATGGGGGTCACAAATAGTCAGACACGACTAGCATCTGAGTGTGCATACATGTACACCCTCTAGAACCTGCAAGCTACACTTACTGAGCCTACGTGCTACAAGCACTGAAGCCTGTGCACCGTGAGCCCAAACTCCACAAGAAGACACGCCGCTGCAATGAGAAAGCCCGTGTAATGCAACAAGAAAAAGCCCTCACACAGGAATGCAGACCCAGCACAACCAAAAATAATAATAATTAAACAAATAATTTTAGAAACTACTTTTATTTCTATATAATAGCAATAAAAATTGAATTAAGTTTTTTGTTTAGAAGTATATTAGAATAAAAAAATGAAAACAGGTAAAGCTTTACAGAATATGTACATAATGACATCTATAGAAACACTGATGAAAGAAAAAGAAGACACAAATAAGTGTAGAACTAGACCATGTCTATATGTTTAAATATTATTATGATGTCAGTTGCCTCCAAACTCAGGCCTCCCTGGTAGTTCAGTTGGTAGAGGATCTGCCTGAAATGCAGGATATCCTGCTTTGATTCCTGGAGATCCCCTGGAGAAGGGATAGACTATCCATTCCAGTACTCTTGGGCTTCCCTGCTGGCTGAGATGTTAGAGAATCTGCCTGCAATGCAGAAAACATTGGTTCAATCTCTGGCTTGGAAAGATCCCCTGCAACAGGGCTTGGCAACCCACTCCAGTATCCTTGCCTGGAGAATCCCCATGGACAGAGGAGCCTGGCAGGCTACAGTCCATGGGGTCACAGAGTTGGACACGACTAAGCGACTAACCACAGCATATCACCTCCAAATTGATTTATAGATTCAAAATAATTTCAATTAAAAAATAAGATTTCTTTGTTGGTATCAATAAGTTGACCCTAAAATTATTTGGAAAGGCAAAGGAGCTCAAGGAGCCACAAAATTTGAAAATGAGGAAGAAAGTTGGAGGTTTTATCCTATCTGACTTCAGTATTTACCATAAAGCTCTAATAATCAAGACAATCCAATGCTGGCAAAGATACAGGCCCAGATGAATGATACAGAAAAGAAAAACAGGCCCACACAAATGAAATCAATTGATTTTTTATAAAAGTACAAAGGCAATTTGGAACAATGGATGTCTATATGCAAAACAAAAAAGTAAACCTTGACCCATACCTCAATTTTCAGTTAATGTAAAAGTTTAATCAAAATTTATCAGAGACCTAAAGATAAAATGTAAAAGTTTTAAACTTAAAGAGGAAAACAGAGGAAAAAATCTTTGTGACCTTGTGGTTAGGTAGAGTTCTTAGATTCAATACCAAAAGCATGATCGCTAAAAGAAAAAGAGCAATACCCTGGACTTTGTCAGTATTAAGCTATTGTGTTCATCAGAAAACACTCTTAAAGAATGAAAACACAAACCTTAGACTGGGAGGAAATATTTGTAAGTCACACATCTGACTATAGTACTTGTATCCAAAATATATAAAGAACACTCAAAATCCAACATCAAGAAAAATTAAGAAAGAAAAGGGCCTAAAGATTTGAAGAAATACCAAGGAAGATGCTGGGATGGCAAATAAGCATATAAAATGATGCTCCACATCATTACTCACTAGGGAAGTGCAAATTAAAACCGCAACAAGGTCCCCTTCATACCTATGAGAAAGGCTATAATTAAAAACAATTACCATGCCAGTGTTGGCAAAGATGCAGAGAAACTGGAGCCTTTATACATAAAGTGATATCATAAATGACACAGCCGCTGTGGAAAAGTTTGGCAAATAAGTACATTAGAGAACCTCAACGTATCACTGGTCTTTGGGGAAATGCAAGTTTGAATTATGCTAAGGTCCTGCTGCTGCTGCTGCTAGGTTGCGACAGTTGTGTCTGACTCTGCGTGACCCCATAGATGGCAGCCCACCAGGCTTCTCCGTCCCTGGGATTCTCCAGGCAAGAACACTGGAGTGGGTTGCCATTTCCTTCTCCAATGCATGAAAATGAAAGGTGAAAGTGAAGTCGGTCAGTCGTGTCCAACTCTTAGCGACCCCATGGACTGCAGCCTACCCGGCTCCTCCATCCATGGGATTTTCCAGGCAAGAGTACTGAAGTGGGTGGCCAGTGCCTTTTCTGATACTAAGGTACTACTGCAAACCTATTGTTGTTTAGTCACTAACTGAAGTGAAGTGAAGTGAAGTGAAAGTTGCTCAGTTGTGTCTCTTAATTCTCCAGGCCAGAAACTGGAGTGGGTAGCCTTTCCCTTCTCCAGGGGATCTTCCCAACCCAGGGATCAAAACCAGTTCTCCCACATTGCAGGCATATTCTTTACCAGCTGAGCCACAAGGGAAGTCCAGAACACCAGAGTGGGTAGCCTATCCCTTCTCTAGCAGATCTTCCCGACCCAGGAATTGAACCAGGGTCTCCTGCATTGCAGGTGGATTCTTTACCAACTGAGCTATGAGGGAAGCCCTGTTTAGTCACTAAGTTGTGTGTAACTCTTTGTGACCCCATGGACTATAGCCTGCCAGGCTCCTCTGTCCATGCGATCTCCCAGGCAAGAATACTGGAGTGGGTTGCTATTTCCCTCTTCAGAGGATTTTCCCACCCAGGAAATGGAACTCACATCTCCTGCATTGGCAGGTGGATTCCTAACCACCGAGCCATCTGGGGAGCCCTCACGCCTATTAGAATCAACTAAATTAAAACCTCACAGTATCGATTGTTGGCCAAGGATACACAGCCATGAGAACGTTCACGCATTGCTGGTGGGAATGCAGAATGACACAGCCACTTGGGGAAAGAGCTTAGCAGGTTCCTATCAAGCTAAACAGACAGTTCTCATCCGATCCAGCTATGCCGCACCTGGGTGTTTATCCTAGAGAAGTGAAAACACGATCACACAAAAACCTGTACACAAGGAACGTTGACACAGGTTTGTTCATAATCATCAAAAATGGGAAGTCATGAAAATGTCTCCCAACTGTCCAATGAACAAATGGTGGGGCACCCTCACCACGGACAGTACGCAGCAGGATGAGCCTCGGGTGCCCACAGCACCACAGCCACTGCATTTTGTGAGAGAAAGAAGCCAGACTCCAAAGGCCACCTGGTGTATGATTCCATGTGTGTGACCTCCTAGAAAAGACACCACTGCAGTTATTTTGAATCAGCACTTGCACTGGGCTTTGGACTGAGGGAGGGGCTGATTTCAGTGGAACAGGAGTTCAGGGCCTGTACGGTCTGGTGGGGGTGTGTCTGCATTTGTCAAAACTCAAAACTCAAAACTGCACGTGGCAAAGAGTGGATCGAAGGCCAGAGGGGTACGGCAGCTAGCAGTACTTGCTTCTACAGGGTCAAGCAATGGACTTCCTCTCCCTTAGTCTGCTGTGTGCTGACTGTGTTGTTCTTTATTAATATTTGTTATATTCTGCCTGCCTTTGGGCTTGCCCTTTTTCTGGACCATATACTCTCAAGGTGGTTTTTGTAGATAGTGTACTGGCTTCTTTTCAGAATAGCTGTCTTATCCTAAATGCTCTAATCTCCATCCACCTGATTATCCACTTCCCTCAGACTTTCAATATTTGGTTCCACTGTCTTCAGCAATGTTGATTGGGTGAGCGAAGTCAGATGCCAAACACTCTGGAAGCTTTTAGGCTGTTTCCTTGTATTTGGTGTCAGACATTTCACCAATGTGTCAGATACGCACCGTTTTCCATTCATCTTGTCCTGTGTGTGGTCAGAGTTCCAAATCTGAAGCACCATGTCTCTTTCCCTTCTCTCTGGGAAATGTTCTGTTTCTCCCTTTGCTGCCCACATTCTCTCTCTGGAGACCGCGGCTGATGAAGCTGGACCTTCCCTCCATCCTGCTCTGTGCTTGAGACATGTCTTGGTTCTTCTCACTCACTCCTTCTTCCTTTGGGCGGTCTGTCTACTGTTCAGCCCTGGTGCTTGAGGGGGACGTCCTACAGCAGGTGATAGCACTGTCCCAACTTTGAGCTCTGAGATACCCAGTCACTGAGATGGGGGGTTCACAGCCACTCACCTGCAGAGCCATGGAGACAGCTGGGAGGGGAGCAGCTGGCAGGCACACACGGGTGGGGCTTCAGGACCCTAGATCAGTCCTGTGTTTGCTGAGAGAACCTCACACAGCTCAGGAGTGACCCAGCACTCAACCAGGACATGCATTTTACAAGCAGCAAACTCTTGTGTAGATAAACAAGAAGTAATAAGGGCTCAACACACCAACAAGGAAAGGGAAGCCTCAAGGAGCCTTCAGCTGGACCAACACACACCTGGATGGGGTATAAAAGGCCCAGAGCCCTGAGCAGCACTCACACACTCACTCACTCACACACACTCACATCCTCACCCTCCTCTAGCCACACCACCTCCACCATGGCCACCTCCGCATTGTCCGTCTGCTCCAGCGACCTGAGTTACGGCAGCCGGGTCTGCCTGCCCGGGTCCTATGACTCCTGCAGCGGCTCCTCCTGGCAGGTGGACGACTGTCCAGAGAGCTGCTGCGAGCCCCCCTGCTGTGCCCCCAGCTGCTGCGCCCCGGCCCCCCGCCTGACCCTCCTCTGCACCCCAGTGAGCTTCGAGTCCAGCCCCTGCTGCCAGCCAGCCTGCAGCAGCTCCTGCCTGGCCTCATGCTGCCAGCCGTCTAGCTGCCAGCCCTCCTGCTGCACCTCCTCCCCCTGCCAGCAGGCCTGCTCTGAGCCCGTCTGCTGCAGGCCTGTCTGCTGCAGGCCTGTGTGCTGTGAGCCCGTCTGCTGCAGGCCTGTCTGCTGCAGGCCCGTCTGCTGCAGGCCCGTCTGCTGCAGGCCCGTCTGCTGCACGCCCGTCTGCTGTGAGTCCTCCCCCTGCTCAGCCTCCTTGTGCTGCCAGCCCAACCCCTGCTCCTCGGTCAGTTGCAGACCCTCCTCCTCCGTGTCCCCGCTCTGCCGTCCTGTGTGCCGCCCCGCCTGCTGCGTGCCTGCCTCCTCCTGCCAGCCCAGCTGCTGCCGCCCCGCCTCCCGCGTGTCCCTGCTCTGCCGGCCCGCATGCTCCTGCCCTGCTTGCTACCTCCCAACCTTGGCCCCGGAGCCCTGTTGCTGACCTGGCACATTGCCAACTCCTTCCATGGCCAACGCTGACTTTCACCTGAAACTTCTGTAGCCTTGAGCCCAGTCTGCGGTCTCCTTCTGCCCCAGAATTTCCTGTTAGCAGCCTGGGCTGGCTCCTGGTTCCCTCCAGGCCCTGAGATTCAGCCAGCATCCTGCTCTCCATCCTTGTTGGTCATGATTTTGTCCTGACCTAGGTGAGGGGTCTGCCTGTTAACAAATAAAGTCACTGTCATGCCATCTCTGTGCCTGGAGTGCATATCTGGTCAAACCCTGGGAAAGACCTTTGTTGTGGACAGTGGGCTGGGCTGGGTTAGAAACCTGACCTTGAGCTGCGCCCAGGACAGTAACATCATCAGGCTCGGCTCCCCACACCCTGCTCCTCTCTGCCTGGGTGTCCTGTGGCCGAGGTTCTCCTGCAGCCTCCAGTCCAGAGTATCCTGCTCACCTGTAGACCCTGCATGAAGTGAGTGATGGGGGGGAGTGGGGCCCATGTTCAGGCCCCGGGCTTGCACACTAGGAACATGGGGCCTCACTAGGGACAATGGAGACCCCGTTTAATAAACATCTGCCTTGAATACATAAAGCTTACTCCAGAAACAGCGTCAGACAGGCTAGTGCCAGCCGTTCTCTTGCCCTGGACATGAGTATGAGTGCTTTCCTCTTTGCAGAGGTGTGGATGTTGAGAGCCACATGCAGTGATGTTGGGAGCCTGTGTGAGTCAGGGCTCTTCAGAGAAAGAACCAATAAGACATGTGCAGATATGCAGAGATTGATGTTGAGGAGCTAGCTCACAGTTTAGAGGCAGGCAAGTCCCAAATCTGTATGGTGAGCTTCCTGGGAAGAGTTGGTGTTGCAGCTACAAATGACCTGCTGGTAGAATCTCTTTCTCTTTGGGGGACATCAGTCTGGTCTCAAGGTCTTCAACTGCTTGGTTGTGGCCCAGCCACATTTTGTAGGGCAATCTGTTTTACTCAGAGTCCACTGATTTCAGTGTTGATCTCACCTAAGAAACAACCATGTTTTGACATCCAGACATGTTTACCCAGACAACTGGGCGCCATGGCCTGGTCAAGTTGACACTTGAAATTATCCATCCCAGGGAACAACAGCCAAGGGGGATGGGCTATTTTGAAATGGCAGGTGCTCACTGGGTGATGCCCTCAGGAATTCAAGTATTAAGGCAGCTATCCCTCTTGGGAAATGTGGATAGGAGGGACATACCTTGGCCCTGTTGGGACAGTGCTGGGTAGGCAAACACTTGCAGGACTGTGATGGGCCTTGATTTGGCGCCTCAAATGTAATTGTACCTTTATAATATGCATGCATATGTGCTGAGTTGCTTCAAGTGTTTCTGATTCTTTGTGACCTTATGGACTGTAACCTGCCCGACTCTTCTGTCCATGAGATTCTCCAGGCAAGAGTACAGGAGTGGGTTTCTGTGCCCTCCTCCAGGGGATCTTCCTGACCCAGGGATCAAATATGTGTCTCCTGCAATTCCTGCTAACAAGAGAATTCTTTCCTGCAGAGCCACAGGGGAAGCCCAACTATTATAATAGCCACATTTAAAAGTGAAAAAGACAGGTAGAATTTATTTAATTACATTTAATTAAACCCAATATATGCAAAAGTTTTAAAAAGATGGGAATACCAGACCACCTTACCTGTCTCCTGAGAAACCTGTATGTGGGTCAAGAAGCAATGATTAGACTGGACATTTAACAGTGGACTGGTTCCAAATTGGGAAAGGAGTATCAAGGCTGTATATTGTCAACCTGCTGATTTTGCTGATATGCAGAGTACATCATCTAAAATGTCAGGCGGGATGAAGTACAAGCTGGAATCAAGATGGCTAGGAGAAATATTAACAACCTCAGTTATGCAGATGATACCACCCTTATGACAGAAAGTGAAGAGAAACTAAAGAGCCTCTTGATGAGGGTGAAAGAGGAGAGTGAAAAAGCTGACATGAAACTCAACATTCAAAAAACTAAGATCATGGCATCTGGTCCCACCATTTCATGGGAAATAGATGGGGAAACAATGGAAACAGTGACAGACTTTATTTTTGGGGGCTCCAAATCACTGCAGATGGTGACTGCAGCCATGAAATGAAAAGATGCTTGCTCCTTAGAAGAAAAGCTGTGACCAACCTAAACAGCATATTAAGAAGCAGACATATTACTTTGCCAACAAAGGTCTGTCTAGTCAAAGCTATAGTTTTTCCAGTAGTCGTGTATGGATGTGAGTGTTGGACCATAAACAAGGCTGAGCATCAAGGAATTGATGCTTTTGAACTGTGGTGTTGGGGAAGACTCTTGAGAGTCCCTTGGACAGCAAGATCAAGCCTGAATATTCATTGGAAGGATTGATGCTAAAGGTGAAGCTCCAATACTTTGGCCACCTGATGTGAAGAGCTGACTCATTAGACAAGAGTCTAATGTTGGGAAAGATTGACAGCAAAAGGAGAAGCGGGAGGCAGAGGGTGAGATGCTTAAATAGCATCATCGACTCTGGATATGAATTTGAGCAAACTCTGAGAGATAGTGGAGGACAGAGGAGCCCGGCATGCTGCAGTCCATAGGGTCGCCAAGAATTGGACTTGACTTAGCGACTGAACAACAACAACAATCCAAAAGCTTTACGTTTCAATACATCTGATATTAATAAAGTATCAGACCCTCACCAGGGTCGCTGCCTGGGAAGGATCAGACTCTGTGTACCAACAGAACCCATCGCTCTGGCTGTTTAGACTTTTCTTCCTCTCCTTCTCGCCTATACCTGCCCAATTTCCCACGTGGTCCTGTATGTTTCCTCACTTGGCCCTTTGTCTTTTTTCTTTCTGGTTTTTGTTTTCAAGATTTTTTTAAGGTGGGCCATTTTAAAGTCTTTATTGAATTTGTTCCCATGTTGCTTCTGTTTTATGATTTGGTTTTTCTGGCCGAAGGGCGTGTGGGGTCTTGGCTCCCTGACCAGGGGCTAAACTCACACCCCATACACTGGAAGATGCCTTCTTAACCCCTGGACCTCCAGGGGAGGCCCATCATTTGTCTTGTCTCTTTAGATGTTTCTCCAAGAGGGAAACATGCGTAGAGTGTTTTCCAAGTGTGAAAATTCACTGCTGTTCTCTTTACTTGAGAAAGATATAAGGGGCTTCCCAGATGGCACTAGTGGTAAAGAATTGGCCTGCCAAAGAAGGAGAAAGATGTACTGATTTGAAAATAGGAAAAATAAGCCTTAGTCTGCAGTGTTCCCCCAGAAGCTCTGTGTCTTTCACTGTTTGATGGGAGAGGTCTGGGGTCCGCCCGGTCAGGGTTCATTTCCAGACTGTTGGCTGTTTCTTCCTGCCTGGAAATGGAGCTGCCCTTCATTCGGTTCATTTAAAAACTGCCAGTGTATGACTAGGATGGGCTCTAAGAATCCAATGCTCTTGAATTCATGAGGCCCTTCCAGTAAAAACACATGCACCTTGGTGCACTCAGCTCAGAGTGGTTCGTGTTCAGCCCTGTCTTTACTGTCTTTTCCTAGCTCTTCCTTCTTCCTTGTTAGCAACTGAGCGATCATGTTTGGTGTCAGTGAAACACATGGTCTGTTTATTACAATTTTTCTCATCGTATTTTGGGATTTATACTTTACCTCTGTTGGAGTAAGCAGTGGCACCTCACTCCAGTATTCTTGCCTGGAGAATCCCATGGATAGAGGAACCTGGCAGGCTACAGTCCATGGGGTCACAAAGAGATGGACACAACTGAGCACCTGAGTAAGCATGCATACTTTACCTCTGTGGTTTGGAGGAACTAGCAGTGTTTGTGCTGAAAACCACAGAGTTGATTTTCTGTGGTGATAATTTTGCTCTTTCCCGCCTCTGTTATAAATTTTCAGCTCAGCTGCCTGGTGGTAGATTTCCTTGGACACATGCTTCCTTCTGTGTCTAGCACTGAAGTTGGTGTGGGGGAAGGCCTGGATAAGAACCTCAATCCTATATACAGATGGCTGGCTTCCAGTCCCAGTCCTGATTCTTTGGGCTGTGTGACCTGGAGATGGTTGCTTAACCTCTCTATGCCTGGGCTTCCTCATCTATTTACAGAAACTTCCTTGCTGAGGAAACTTCCTGCTTTCCTTCCTTCCTTCACTCAGCATTGTTCCTATAGTTCAGTTGCTCAGTCGTGTCCCACTCTTCATGACCCCATGGACTACAGCACAACAGGCTTCCCTGTTCTTCACCACCTCCCAGAGCTTGCACAAACTCATGTCCATTGAGTCAATGATGCTATCTAACCAACATGTCCACTTTTGTACCCTTCTGCTCCTGCATTAATATTTCCCACCATCAGGGTCTTTTCTAAGGAGTCAGCTCTTTGAATCAGGTGGCCAAAGGCTTGGAGCTTCAGCTTCAGCATCAGTCCTTCTAATGAATATTCAGGTTTGATTTCCTTTTGGATCTTACCTCAGATATTTTCTATATCTTTCTGGAGTCAAACAAAAGAGAAATGGGAAAACATCCTGCAACATGGGATATTTACGCTCACAGGTTTAATGAGTAAAAACTATTGTGGAAACTACGCCAGCACTAATGAGGGGCTCCTGCAGCCAACTCTCAACCCCAACAAGGAAGGGAGGGCCTGAGAGGCTCCTGTGGGGACAACACAAGCCAGGGGCCAGGTATAAAAGCCCTGCATCCTCAAGCACCTCACACACACAGCTCACACACTCACACACACTCAAACCATCCTCCAGCCCCACCGCCTCCACCATGGCCGCCTCCACCCTGTCTGTCTGCTCCAGCGACCTGAGCTACGACTGTCCAGAGAGCTGCTGCGAGCCCCGCTGCTGTGCCCCCAGCTGCTGCACCCCAGCCCCCCGCCTGACCCTCCTCTGTGCCCCAGTGAGCTGCGAGTCCAGCCCCTGCTGCCAGCCAGCCTGCAGCAGCTCCTGCCAGGCCTTGGGCTGCCAGCCGTCTAGCTGCCAGCCCTCCTGCTGCACCTCCTCCCCCTGCCAGCAGGCCTGCTCTGAGCCCGTCTGCTGCAGGCCCGTCTGCTGCACTCCTGTCTGCTGCAGGCCTGTCTGCTGCAGGCCCGTCTGCTGCGAGGCCTCCCCCTGCTCAGCCCCATCCTCCTGCTGCAGACCCTCCTCCTCCGTGTCCCTCCTCTGCCGCCCCGTGTGCCGCCCCGCCTGCTGCGTGCCCGCCTCCTCCTGCCAGCCCAGCTGCTGCTGCCCAGCCTCCTGTGTGTCCCTCCTCTGCCGACCCACATGCTCCCGCCCCACCTACTATGTGCCCACCTCCTCCTGCCAGCCCTCCTGCTGCACCTCCTCCCCCTGCCAGCAGGCCTGCTGTGAGCTCGTCTGCTGCAGGCCTGTCTGCTGCAGGCCCGCGTGCTGTGGGGCCTCCCCCTGCTCAGCCCCATCCTCCTGCTGCAGACCCTCCTCCTCCGTGTCCCTCCTCTGCCACCCCGTATGCCGCCCCGCCTGCTCTATCCCCGCCTCCTCCTGCCAGCCCAGCTGCTGCCGCCCGGCCTCCTCTGGGTCCCTCCTCTGCCGGCCCTCATGCTCCCGCCCCGCCTGCTATGTCCCCATCTCGGCCCCAGAGCCCTGCTGCTGACCTGGCATGTCACCCAAGGGCCAGCCAGGCTCAGGTGCCACCTGTGACTTGGTCCTCCAAGCCTCCCTCTGTCCTGACCTGGGCTGGGTGGCTGCCCTCACTCAGGACAGGTTCCCTGATGTCTCCACTGTCCTGACCGACTGACCTCTCACTCCTGCTCCAGGAACCCCAACCTCACCGCTCCCAGGGCTCCTGCCTCCCAGGAATTGCCTCCAGCTGTCTCTGGGTCATCAGCCCCGCTACCCTTGGAGGTCCTCTGTCTGGGTCACTCGACTTCCAACCTTGGGTGCACCCCCTTGGGCACTGGGATAAATAAACTCAGTTCATCACTTGATCTGCTCCCTTCATCTCACCTTCACTGAGGGTAAACCCAGGGTTTTGACCCGACACTGGTCTTCTCCAGCTACAAGTATTTCTAAGGGTGAGTGACAAGCCACCAGAAGGGCAGGGGCCTGACTCCTCTGGGCAGGCTGGCTCCTTTCCTCGCTGGGAAGGACCAGGTTGCTCAGGTCCTGTGGTCCTGGGAGATGAACATGGGGGGAGTGGAGGTGCCTGTCCAGCCTGGATGCGCTGCCTGTGACGTCAGTGTCTTTCCCAACCCCTGTCTTGCCCCAACCACCACTGTGAGCGTTTTGTCCCACTGGCCCTCAGGCACACACTCCTGAGCGCTAGCTCCTGGAAATCCCTTCTAGGGGAAGATAACCGCAGGGGCCACGAGTGTTCCCTTGGCGCTGGAGTGGCCAGAGGCCAAGTGACCCAAACTGTTCACATGGATGTTACTAAATTAGGTGTTAAATTAAACATGAGGACCATGAAGTCTTTCCACTTTAGTGTAATACTTGTGTGAAATTTCACTCATACTTTTGCATGGGCAGAGACTTGCTAAAAGATTATATTCTGTATTTTACATATCTGCTTAGCATGCAGATTTAATCACTTTCGATTCTTTACCTTTTTGTGATACTAGGCTAGAAATTGTTGTTCAGTTGTTAAGTTATGTCTGACTTTTTGTGACTCCATGGACTGCAGCATGCCAAGCTTCCCTGTCCTTCACTATTTCCCGGAGTTTGCTCAAACTCAAGTCTGTTGAGTTGGTGATGCCATCCAACCATCTCATTCTCTGTCACCGTCTTCTCCTCTTGCCCTCATTCTTTCCAGCATCAGGGTCTTTTCCAGTGAGTCAGCTCTTTGCATCAGGTGGCCAAAGTATTGGCGCTTCAGCTTCAACATCAGTCCTTCCAATGAATATTCAGGGTTGATTTCCTTTAGGATTGACTGATTTGATCTCCTTGCTGTCCAAGGAACTCTCAAGAGTCTTCTCCAGCACCACAGTTTGAAAGCATCAATTCTTTGGCACTCAGCCTTCTTTATTTTTGGGCTAGAAATGAACAGACTCTAAGTTGCATTAACAAACAGTCAAGTATGTATGGTCTCTCTGTGGTTCAAGCTGGAAAGTGATGCTCAGCTGGGGTTGCTGGTGTTTGGAGAAGGTGATCATGCGGATTGTGAGAGGTTTTTAAAATTGTGGTGAAATACACGTAAAGTGGAATTTCCCTTCCAGCCCTTTTAAGGTGTATGGTTCAGTGGCATTAAGGACAGTCACAGTGTTGTGCGGTGATCACCATTGCCCACCTCCAGAACCTTTCTCATCCTCCCCAAAATGGACCTCTACAGACACGGAATAATAGCTCCCCAACACCCCCAGCCCCTGGTACCCACTCTACTTTCTGTCTCTGGATCTGACCCCTTCAGCGGTCTCATATGAGTGCATTGTACACTAGCTGTCCTTCTGTGACTGGTTTACATCACTCAGCATAATATCCTCAAGGTTTATCCACATTGATGTCAGAACTTCCTTTTTAAGGTTGAATAATATCTCATTGCATGAATGCACCACATCTTACTTATCGTTTCTTCATTGGTGGACACTGGTTGCTGTGACATCTTAACTACTGAGAGTAATGCATGTAAGAACAGGGGTGTACAATTGCCTCTTCCGGACACTGCTGTCTGTCCTTTGGGGTGTCTGCCAAAAGTGGAATTGCTAAGTCAGGTGGTAATTCCACATAAATTTTTTGAGGAGTCTCCTTATTGTTTTATTTTTTTTATTTCTTAATTGGAGAGCATATAACCTGAGAAATCCACAGTTCAAAAAGGCACATGTACCCCAACGTTCCTTACTGTTTTTTATTAATATTACCCCTACTCCATTTTCCATCCCCACCAACAGTGCACAGGGCCTCCGATTTCTCCACATCCTCGCCAACACTTGCAGCTTTCTGCTTCACTGACAGTAGCTGTCCTCAGGGACACGAGGGGTTTGTTTGGTTTTATCACAGCTCTGGTTACTGCCTGAGGCACTGCAGTCTGGAGCCCCCCGCTCTCACCTGCCCCCACCTGCTCCCTCACCTGCCCCGCCCCTCCACCAGCCACGCCCCTGGCCCGCCCTGCCTCTCAATGCCCCGCCCCTTACTTCACCTGCCCCGCCCATCACCCTCCCCGCCCCTCAGTGCCCCGCCCCTCACCTCACCAGCCCCACCCCCGCCCTCTCTCTTGCAGAAGAATGAGTACCTCCTGGCGGTGGTGGCGGAGGAGCGCGACTCGCTGCTGCTGGGCCTGCGCTACTCGCCCACCCAGCTGCACTTCCTCTTCCTCAGCGAGGACGGGGCAGGCGCCTGGCAGACCCGCGTGTCCTTCCGCAGCCCGGCTCTGGTGGACGGCCAGTGGCACGTGCTGGTCTTGGCCGTGTCCGAGGGCTCCTTTTCGCTCACTACGGACTGCGGCCCCGCCGTGGACATGTAGGTACTGCGACACCCTGACAGGGTCGCATGGGGCTGTGTGCTACCTGGCAAGGTGGGTCCACACAGCCAGACGGTACATGTGGCCTCCCCGGGACAGCTCGCAGTGCACACGTGGCCCCGGGCCTAGGGCCTGAGCCCTGGCGGATGCGGTCCGGCTGGAGGAGGAGTGCCGGGCTCCGTTAGTGGACCTGGAGCTGCCCCGCTGGAAAAGCGGTGGGTGGGGGGGCGCACGGGTGGGAAGGGAGCCGAAGCCTGCCCGTGTCCTCGCTGGGTGGATTGGACTTGACCCCGGTAAAAGCACTGCTAAAGAGTTGGTAGCGTCGCTTAAAGGCCCAGAGGAAGGTCAGGGTGAACTCTGGCACCAGGAGCCCAAAAGGAGCTGCAGCTGATCCAGCCCAGGGCTTTCTTCCCCCTATATGTATATATTTTGGGGGGTTTCCCTGGTGGCTCAGACGGTAAAGCGTCTGCCTGCAATGCAGGACACCCGGATTCTATCCCTGGGTCGGGAAGATCCCCTGGAGAAGGAAATGTCAACCCACTCCAGTACTCTTGCCTGGAAAATTCCATGGACGGAGGAGCCTGGTAGGCTACAGTCCAGGGTGTCAAAGAGTCCGACAGGACTGAGCAAATTCACTTTCACTTTCATGTATGTCTGGTTTCAGTTGACCCAGCAAGTGGAGTCTTTCCTCCTGGTGCAGAGCCTTCTGTCTAGATGTGTCCCCTGACTCCAGAGTTCTGGGCCTCAGTAGTTGTGTTGCACAGGCTTAGTTGACCCACAGCATGTGGGATCTTAGTTCTCAGACCAGGGATCAAACCCATGTCCCCTGCATTGGAAGGCAGGTTCTTAACCACTGGACCACCAGGGAAGTCCTGAAGTGCAGGTCTTGCTTTGTGACTTTCAACCCATCAGGTAACCTCTCTGACTCAGTGTCCTTTTCTGGGATGAGGGAATAAATAGTCAGCAAAACTCCCAAGTAAAGGTGCAGAACAACCTTCATAGCTTTGACACAACCCCAGGCATGCTCCAGACGAGAAATTGTTCAGTCCCAACTCCGGCCACATCTTCCTACATCCCCTGGGTCACCAAGGGGACACCATCTGTCCCTTCGCCCTAGGCTCGGAGGATGGGGGCAGGCCTGGGACCCCTTGTGGACAGAAGCCACTGGAGGCCTCTGTGAGATGGAGAGGGGCCACTGAGCACGTCTGCAGCACACGCTTTTGTAGAAGACCCTGTCCTGAGGCAAAGCATGTCCCCCAAATTCACATTTGCCAGAACTGGGAATGGTTTGGACGCAGCATCCCTGCAGGGATAACTGAGCTCAGTTGAGGTCATGCTGGAGGAGGGTGGCCCTGAGTCAGTGATTGGTGACCCGATGAAACGAGGAGCAGAGGAGAGGCCACATGATTTGGTCACAAGCCAGGAGCTCCGGGAGCTGAAAGAGACTCCCCTCCAGTCTTCAGAGGGGACAAACCCAGCTGACACCTTGATCTCAACTTCTGGCCTCCAGCACCATGAGGGAACACACTTCCGTTGTTTAAGGCACCTCGTTGGTGGAGCTGGTCACAGCTGCTCCTAGACGCTGCTACAGCCTCACGGTGCTGCCCACTTTCCTTTCTGCATAAGTGGGCCCCCAGTCTGCTCTCCCCTGGCCCTAAAACCACCCTCCAATGTTTTCAGAATGGCTGACATGCCCTTCCCAGCCACCCTGTCTGTGCGAGGAGCCCGGTTCTTCATCGGCAGTCGGCGGAGGACCAAAGGCCGGTTCACGGTAAGGATGGAGGCGCTGCCCCCCAGGCCCTCCAACACCAGTGCTCCTGGGGGCTGTCACCACTGGCTTGGCACCCCAATGCTCTAATTAAACAGTGGTGTGTGCCAAATGGGAATGGGGAGCATAAGGGCTCAGAGGAGACCCCTGCTAGCTAGGCACGCTCCCCTACAGGCCCTTTGCACCTGCTGTGCCCTCCTCCTGGAGCGTGAGTCCCCAGTCCTGCCGTGGCACACTCCAGTGACCTTGGAGCCTTGCCTTGTGCCCTTGTACTGTGAAGGCCTTGCCCACCCCTTAGAAGATGCCTCCACACCCAGCCCTCTCATCCCCTCTCCGGATGGTCTTTGTATCCATGACCTCCTTCAGACCAGCTGTGTGTTTGGTCATTGCCTGTCTCCCCCTTGGAGTGTGAGTGGGGGGACCTTGCTCAGTGAGGATATGGACTTTTGTTTCTTGCTGTGTCCCGTGTTGAGAACATGCCTTGTGCATAAGAGGTGAGATCTGAATATTTACCAGTGGCATGATTGGATGGATGGATGGATGGACAGCTAGATGGATGGACAGAGTAATAGAAAGATGGATGGTAGATGGGCAGATGGGAGGATAGCTAGGTGAACAGATAGATGAATGAATGTATAGATGGATGGATGGATGAATGAATGGGCATTTGGGTGGGAGGATGGAAGAATGGATGGCTGGACAAAGAGATAGATGGATGAACAGAGAGATGAATAGATGGATGGGCAGATAAGTGGACAGATGGACAAATGAGTGGACATACAGATGAATGACCAATGCACCCAGTTATTCTAGGTCAGTCCACAGGAAGAACCCGTTCCATGGTGTAATCACCTTAGAACCGTGCACAGCTCTCCACTATTGCTCCCAGTGCCCCCTAACCTATAGGCAGACTCCTCTCTCTTGGCCACCCCTCCCTCAGGGTCTGGGTGGGCTGAGCCCAGGGGTCATCGGGCCCTCCAACAGCACAGGTCTGAGTGCCCTGCACCCCCCCGCAGGGCCTGGTGAGGCAGCTGGTTCTGCTGCCTGGCTCGGATGCCACCCCGAGGCTCTGTCCCTGCATGAATCCTGAGCTCGCTGTGCTGTCCATCCCCGCTATCCTGCATGGCCTCACAGGGAAGCCGGAAGACAACGAGGTGCTAAAATACCCCTATGGTTAGTAGGCCAAAGCTGCCCCTCCCCACGCTGACGGTAGACCCCGAAAGCCTGGTCACCCCCAGGTTCCCCAGGCATAAGACAGTAGAGTACTTATCATGTGGACAAATGGATAGCTGGGGCCTGATGCAAATGACCCCCTCCCTGGGGAGGCAGACAATGCTCTCAGATCCACCCTCCTTCTGCAGGGCTCCCTTGTCAGCTGCTTAAGCCCCGCCAGACGGTGCCCTTGATGGACCACTCATCCTGCCTGGGACCCGGGGCTGAGCTGACACAAATTCCTTCTCTGACTCCTACCTGCCACCTGCTTTGCCCCAGAGCAGCATCTGGGGCCTGTTCACCCCTTCCCTCTCCAACAGACACCAAACCTCAACCACCCAATGGGGACCCTGATCTTCATAAGGTTCAGTTCTATTTTTGGGACCCCTCAGCCTAGAAGGTCCCCAGCACCGGCGTCTTTCATTTGTGTTTTCACCTCCCCAGTGTAAAGTCAGTATTGACTTTACTTAAGTCATACCCCCTGCCATGGAGAACCCAAAACTCTCTCCACTAACAACCCCAACTCCTACTGGGGAGGTGGGGAGACCCCTGACTCCTTCTAGAGCCTCACGGCCCTTGCTTCACAAGTCAGGGGAGCCCCTTGAGCAAGTCGGCCCTTAGACCCAGTCTTGGGCCAGCGTCCCCAAATTCCCAGTCTCATGACCTCTGGGATGTTTTCTGGGCCTTGAACAGGAGTCTGACCCCCAAGGCCTCTGCCGGGCACTTGGCGAGGTTTCACTGCCTGGCCACTGGGGTCTTAGCTCGGGAGTCACTGTAGGGAGGCCACGTGGCATCATCAGGACAGCGCTGGACCTGGATGAAGCCGCGATGACCAGAAATGAGGGGGTCAAGGTGCCTGAGAACCAAGCAGACAGAAGTTAGCTGAACCTGTGCCAGTGAGTCTTAGATGGAGGAGAGAGCGAGGCAGCATGATTGCTGAGGGTTCTCAGAGGAGCAGGGGTTTGGGGAAGAACTTGGTGGGCAGGTGGGTGGACTTGAGGGGCATATCCGGGCCCTGTGCACAGATGCCAAGGGCAAGCCCTGGGCTCTTGGGTCTCCCTGCCTCCCAGAGGCCTCGTTGATAACCCTGAGTGTTTCCTGGCAGGAACGCAGGGGTCAGGGGTCACCTGACACCCTTGACTCTGCCTCCCTCTGGGGAGCACATACCCACAGGACATTTGTCTTCTGTCGCCCCAATCAGAAACCGACATGAAGGTGACGCTGGGACCCCGGCCTCCGTGCACCAAAGCGGAGGATGCCCAGTTCTGGTTCGACGCCAGCCGCAAGGGGCTATACCTGTGCGTGGGCAGCGAGTGGGTCTCCGTGTTAGCAGGTGAGACATGCAGGGCTCCGGGGGCCTAGGGGTTTTCTCAGAGCCAGCGTTACGTAGGAATAGGGAATGAACCTCACAGAGCAGTGAGCTTGAGTGTTTCACCTGGAAACAAGTGCCCTCCTGGGCTGGACTCGTGGGCTGGCAGGCTCTCATCCATCGTCCCAACTAGGGTAGACCATGGGCCTTCTCCAGGGTGCCCCATCCACTGTCCTCACCCTCTCCTCTCTCTCCGGTCAGATGAGATATGCTGGTGCCCGGAGCCCAAGAGTGGTGTTGTTGGCAGGGAGGTGAGCAGAGGAGCCGTCTGAGGGTGGGGGTCCCTGGGAAATGGGAACTGGCTCCAGGGGGCTGTCCAGGAGCCATGGCCTGTACTCTCTAGTTCACATTCGGGCACAGATTTTTGTGGAAGCCTGGAGCCTTGTGAAATGTCTAGTAAGGACCTGACATGTCACTTCCATCCAGCAAGTGTCCCTGGAGGCTCTGCAGGCCCTAAAGCCCATTCAGGGACCGGAATCTGCTTTGCTGGGCCTCCAGATGACGGTAGCATAGGACTTAGGGCCACTCGCCTAACCTCGTGTTAAGGGTCGTGTCCCAGGGCCCTGGGGTCACTCCTGGATGTCGTCCATCAGGGCTTCTGTTCTGGGAAGCCTTAACTGATCTCCATGTCTCTATCACAAGCCAAAGAAAGGCTGGATTACGTGGAGGAGCATCAGAGCCTGTTCACGAACTCAGAGACGCTGGGCATCGAGGTCTTTGTCATCCCTGAGGCCGGGCTCTTTGTGGCAACCGCCAACCGGAAAACCACATCTGCCATCTACAAGTGGACTGATGGCAAGTTTGCTTCATACCAGGACATCCCCACGCACCAGGCCCAGTCCTGGAGACACTTCACCATCGGGAAAAAGGCAAGTTCATGTGTGCGACTGTGTCGGTCATTTTCATCTTGGAAAAACCCACAGAGTCTGAGAGTTGGGGCTCCTTAGGTAGATTTTGGGCTTCCCTGGTGGTTCAGATGTTAAAGAATCTGCCTGCAGTGTGGGAGACCTGGGTTCAATCCCTGGGTTGGGAAGATCTCCTGGAGAAGGGAATGGTAAGTATCCTTGCCTGGAGAATTCCATGGACAGAGGAACCTGGTGGGCTACAGTCCATGGGGGTCTCAAAGAGTCAGATATGACCGAGTGACTTTCACTTTATGTAGATTTTATGGGGAAAAGCATTTCTACTGGTTTCAGAGCCTCATACAGGTTCTAAATGGGTTTTGAATCAAACACACCTGTGTCTCTTGGTCTGGAATGTGACTGAGAAAATCTGTTCCGTTTCCTACAAAATGGACACAGACCACTGCTGAGACATTTCCCACTCCATGCAGACCTGCCACTGCCTCCTTAAAGCTCTGAGATAATCTGACCTAAGTTCAGTTCAGTTCAGTCACTCAGTCATGTCTGACTCTTTGCGACCCCATGGATGCAGCACACCAAGCTTCCCTGTCCATCACCGACTCCCGGAGCTTGCTCAAACTCATGTCTGAGTCAGTGATGCCATCCAACCATCTCATCCTCTGTCGTCCCCTTCTCCTTCTTCCTTCAATCTTTCCTAGCATCAGGGTCTTTTCCAATGAGTCAGTTCTTCGCATCAGATGGCCAAAGTGTTGGAGCTTCAGATTTAGCATCAGTCCTTCCAATGAATATTCAGGACTGGTTTCCTTTAGGATGGACTGGTTGGATCTCCTTGCAGTCCAAGGGACTCTCAAGAGTCTTCTCCAGCACCACAGCTCAAAAGCATCAATTCTTTGGTGCTCAGCTTTCTTTATCTGACCTAAACGGGAGTGGAAATGGGGCTCCATACCGGCCTCCTTCTATTGGCCCCGTAAACACGGGGGACACGTGCTGTCCTGATGGAGGGGACAGGTGAGGTGGTGAGGGCTGGACCTGAGGCCTTGGATGGGAGAGCCTGGCAGGCAGCCCCCTTCCTTTCACCAGGACTGTGTTGGGCAGTAAGCCCAAGGGTGGGACGGAGAGGGCTGCCCCCCTGAGATAAGCATTTCCTTCCCAGCTCCTTCTAACCCTCCACTCCCAATGGCAGGATCCCTGGGCCCCCTCCCATGCCTGCTCTCAAGTCAGTCACCAATGTGCCCAGTTCCAGCCCTGCACACCCCACCCCCAAGGCCCATGCAGTGGGGACAAAACTGAGCGAAGCAGACAAATCTCTGTTTCCAGTCTCTGCTGGTTATCTGGGTCTTGCACTCCAGGGCAGCCTGGTGAAGGAGTGACTAGCTCTCTGGTCTTATGGCTGACGACATTTTAAAGATTTTTACTTTTTCCTAATAAAAAAAAACTTTATATCAAAAAATTGGGAAATTCAGGAAAATAAGAAAAATCTGTCAGGTCCCCTAAGCAGACAGAGGGTCCCTGGTGCTGCTTCAGCCACAGCAAGTGAGCCCCCCACCCTAGGCTTCTGGCTTCTGTCGCATCGCATGACTCGCGACCTGGGCCTCTGGGTTGTGTGACACGTAGGGTGTTGCCACATGGTCCTCAAGTGTGTGACACACACGTGCTCTTGACGGACAGCAGAGTGTTAATTCTCTCCTCCTTGTCTGAGTGATGCACATTGCTGTGCATAAGGCTTTCCCTGGGTTTGGGAGATAAAAACAGAGCTAATAGGCCGGTAAACATGGGCCTGGCTATCGGTCTTAGAGTAATTAAGATCTGGAGTCAGTGCCACGTCCTGGGGCCTGCCCAGGCTGCCAGTCCTGGGCTCATCCTCTGTCCTGGGGTTCAGCCTCTGTCCTGGGGCTTGGCCTGTGTCCCGGGCTCATCTTCTGTCCTGGGCTCATCCTCGGTCCTGGGGCTTGGCCTCTACCCCGGGGTTCAGCCTCTGTCCCGGGGCTCAGCCTGTGTCCCAGGGCTGACATTAAGAAACCCAGAGCACCAGCCCCTCACTCGGATGATGAGAACCTTCTTCTGGTCCTCTCCTCAGATCTTCCTGGCTGTGGCTAATTTTGAGCCGAATGAGAAGGGTCAGGAGTTCTCGGTCATTTACAAGTGGAGCCAGAGAAGGCTGAGGTTCACGCCATACCAGAGGGTGCCCACCCACAGTGCCCGGGACTGGGAGGCCTTTGAGGTGGCCGGCGAGCACTTCCTGGCCGTGGCCAACCATCGGGAAGGTAGGGGCCATGGCCCAGACTCTGGGCTTGGGCATGATCGCCTGCAGCAGTCAGCGTGTTTCATTAGAAATGTATAATAAACCTCACCTGGCCTGCATCCTCAGGCTCGGCTGTATGACAGTGGCGTCTGAAGGTGGACACACCTGAGCACCCTCTCCACCTGTTCAGGTGGGAGGGGTCCCTGCCCCCATCCATTCTGGGCACAAACTCTGTGAGATGCAATGGGTACGTGGGAACAGGCCTAGGAGGGCCTGGGAAACCTGGCTTCTGGGCCAGATGACTGTCCGAGTGACCGCAGCAAGCCCTTTCGGGTGCTATAACTCAAGGGAGACAGGACCCTGGGGCAACTGGCCCTGCAGAGTGTCTCCAGCCTCTGCAGGTTCCAAGGCTCAGAGTTTACCTGAGTCTACAACCTGCCAGGGAGCTCTGTGGGGGGGTAGGGAGGAGACCCCACCACCACTCATGGGCAGAGGGATCCCAGGAGTCTGCTACCAGGTACCTCTGAGGACAGTAAGTGTCCCAGGAGAGGCTGGCCCAGCGGGGTGTGTGTGGGGGAGTGGGAGGCCCTAGGGAGCACAATGTGGGGACAGGGCATCCAGCCCCCAGGTCTGATGTCTGGGGGGGCGGGAGCATGAAGCGGAAGGCAAGCAGAGTGAAGGGTGAGGCTGCGGAGGGGGTGGGGAGTCCCACCTCCAACACACTAGATAATCACAGGGGTCTGGAGTCCCCCAAAGGCTGGGCCACTGCGGGTTCTCATGGGGCAGAGAGGCAGGAAGATCACGTGACGGGTAACGTGGCTGGGGACCCGGGAAGGGTGCAGGAGATCAGGGTCCAGCTGGTTGGATGGGCTGCAGGGCCTGGGGCAGCGTCCCATGGGGCCTGGTCCCAGGGTGCTGGCATGAAGCTGCAGAAGCCTGTCTCCCTTCCTCAATGCCACTCGGCTTCCAGGCGACAACCATAACATTGACAGCGTCATCTACAAGTGGAACCCGGGGACACGGCTCTTCGAGGCCAACCAGACCATCGCCACTTCGGGCGCCTACGACTGGGAGTTCTTCACGGTGGGGCCCTACGCCTTTCTGGCCGTGGCCAACGCCTTCAACGGCACGTCCACGCGGCTGCAGTCCCACCTGTATGTGCGGCTGGGCGGCTCCTTCCAGCTCTTCCAGTCCTTCCTGGTGAGGACCCTGCGCTCCCCATGGCACCCCCCACACCCTTCCCAGCCCCGGGCCTGTCCACACCAGGCGCCTCCCCAGAGGTCAGGAGAGGGAGCCTGCAGACGAGGTGGAAGGGCTTCCCTGGCACAGAGCTCCCACCAGTACATATGCTCAGATGAGTCCCCTGGCCCCCTGGCGGGCCCCACAGTCTAACCCGCCTTTATGTGGGTGTCAGGCTCTTGTCCTGAGGCAGCCGGCAGCTGGCCCCTGACCTGGCCAGCTGTGGGGACAGCACTTTTCACCTTCTCTGAGATCATCCCTTAGCTGGTTCCAGCCGTTGTGGGCTGCCTGGCAAAGCATCAGACTGAGGCAGCGAGAGGCTTTATGAGGTGGGGCAGTGCTGAACACCCCGGTGAACCATGCGTGTACTGACCAGTCCCAGACTAGTGGGCGGTGTTGGCAGCCCCTCCTCAGGCCCCGCCGTGGTCTAGGATGGTGATACGGGGTCCAGACCCTCTTCTACCTTCCCTTGCCCTCCTCCCTCCCAGCTGCCTGGCTTGTCCCTCTCAGTGTCAGACCCCAGACCAAGCCCCCATGTGCTCAGTTGCTGAGTCATGTCCAACTCTGTACAACCTCATGGACTGTAGCCCACCAGGCTCCTCTGTCCATAGGATCTTCCAGGCAAGAATACAGGAGCAGGTTGCCATTTCCTACTCCAGGGGATCTCTCTGACCCAGGGATCAAACCTGAGTCTCCTGCATTAGCAGGCGGATTCTTTACCACTGAGCCACCTGGGAAGCCCAAGCCCCCATGGATGACTGAAATGAACAGTCGAGGTCGGCATTTGCATCGTCCTGGCCACGTCATAAGCTCGTTCTTGCAGAGCCAAGGGTGCGGTTTGACCACTCCCTTCTCAGTGGTGGGCTGGGACAACCTCCGGGCCAGCTCTTGGGGACAGGCCCTGCATGCAGGTCAGACTCTTTTCATACCACAAGCCCAGCACGTGGCTAACTTCACGCATGGACCCCAGGTGCTGCACAGGGCACTTTTCCACAAGTTCCTAGTTGCTTCTTCCCATATCCCTCCCTCCCTCCCTCTCCTCTCCTTTGTGGGGGAAGAAAACCACCATCTCTGCACATGGTAACGTCCCCCGGCTTCTTGCGGTCCTGCCTGTCCCCAGGCTCCTGTGAGCACTGCGTCCTCGGTGCCTCCTGGGTTTCCACTGTGTGTGTGTCGCTGCTCCTCTTGCGACCACGAGGTCTCTGGTCAGCTTGTGTCCACAAAGAGCCCTCTTCCCCTGCAGCCCGTCCTCCTGGGCCCTCCGGCCTGTGCATCCGGGCCGGCTGTCTCTAGAGCTGACAGTGGTCCCTTTTCTGGAACTTTCCTTTACTGCCATCTTTGGCTGGAGCCACCACATCCCATTCTGATCTCCAGTGTCCCAGTTGACCTCAGGTTTTCGGGTGACACCTCAGGGACGCCCCCTTCCAGGTACTCCCCCACGCTCCCCAGCATCCCTGCAGCTGGGCCGGGTCACGTGACCAAAGTCAGCCAATGGGTGTAGAGCAGAGCGAGCCCACATCAAACCTGGACTGAGGGGTCACAGCCCACCCCTCACCCTCCGCAGCCACATGGGCCACGTGGCCTGATGGCCCAACCACAGGCTGGGGGAGCCATGACCTCGCCAGCTTCCTCTCAGTGAGAACCACCGTCTCTGGCAGGAAGCGTGGACACTCGTGGTGGCCGCGTCCCTCGCCCGGCCTGATAAATGGTGTACAGGATTTTAGGGTAGAAGTTGTTCCCTTGAGAACACGGAGGGCGGCCCCCTGCCTCCCAGAAGCCAGGGGTTCAGTGGCCCCTCTGCCTCCCCAGGTGCCCTTGCATTGACCTTCTCTGCCCTCAGCGCCCACAGGATTCTTCACAGTGGTTCCCTGGGCCTGTTGACTGCTTTGTTTCAGGGCCCTTTCAACTTCAAGGTGTGCTTTTCCAGGCCTGGGAGCTTTTCTTGGTTTTTCTTGATCATTCCATATACCACCCCACCCCAGCACACTGGTTAGAGGGCTTTCAGATCTCCTGGGTTGAGTTATCTTTTCAACCTAGCATCTTTCCCTATCTTTATTCTCTGATCATGTTGAGGAACATCTTCTCATAAAACTAGGAATCGTCTTTCTAATATCCAAGAACTCTTCCTCTTCATGCCGTTCTATATTTACTCTATAAATGCAGTATCTTCTTGAATACTTTTGAAGGTCATTATAGTTTTAAAAAATTCTGGTTTCTAGAACCAGCTTGGTTTACTCCAGTATGAGTGTATGTATATATTTTAGCCTGACTCTCATGTTCCAGGTCCTTTATCACATGTCTGGAGGACCCTGTGTTTTCTGTTTATATTTCACATCGAGCATGGCAGGGGGCGGCATTGTCACTAGTGGCTTGTACCCCAGGGAGCTAGGGGTCTGGTTGAGGCCCTTGATGAGGTGCCTTCTAAACTGGCCTTTTGTGCAAACATTGGACAGGTCACATAGAATGATAATCTCCAAACTGCACTCCCTCCCCGACCGGCTGCAGGAAGCCTCTTCATGTCATGTGCCTGGTGTGACAGGCCAGCTAGGGACTTGTGTGGTTGACCAGAAGGCCGCATGCCGGGCCTCTGTGTTCCCTGGACACCATGGGGAAACAGTCAGCCTGAATTTCTCAGAGCAGTGTTCGTTCCTGCCACTGTCTGTCATGCAGAATGTCTCAGATCCCTTCCAGGTTCCAACCCATCTCCTTAAACACTCCCCAGTATACTGGCTCCAGAGCTGTGAGCCCCTGAAACTCTGTATTTTCAGGCAGCCTCAGGATCTGGCTCCAGTCTGTGTCCAGCCTCGGACACGGAGCATCCTCAGAAGGGAGACTGGGCCGAGGGGCAGAGACAGGCCCAACTGAGCCAGGATGGGGGCCATCTGGGCTCCATGCCCCAAACCAGAGCCAGCCCAGGGGTGTGACGCTGGCTGGAAGAATCAGCCAGAAGTGCAGGGTGGGGACAGGGGTGGGCAGAACCACAGTGGCTGCGAGAGGGCACATCTCCAGCTTGTGGGTAGTGCTGCCCCAGGAGCTGACTCTGGGGGCTGCAAGGGGGCACTGCTGCTCCCTGCACCCACACACACCTGAGGACCCTGCCTTCTCTTATGAGCCGAGTCTCTTTGCACCCAGTGAGTCCCTCAGAACCTATCAGATCCCATTTTCATGTTCTGCCAGCTGTTTTTGTATGGTGTTTAAATCCTCTTAGGTCCTGAAGACACCTTCATATGTTTGCACTTGGTTTGGAGCTTTGCAGCATCTCTCATGGCCTCACATGAGTTTGAAGCAGGAGCTGAAGTGTGTGTAGAGAGGCGCCAACCTCGAGGGGAGCCCTTTCTGAAGGGATGGCCAGGCAAGGGACATAGGCTGCTGGCATTTGTGGCGCTGTGCACACAGACAGCGCTGAGAGGGGCACCAGGTGGGTCCCTCACTGGTAGGGTGAGTTCAGCTCATGAGGAAGGTTGTGCTCATGCTGGGTCTGCAGCCGAGGGGTGCATGGGAGATCAGCAGTCCACCCTGATGCATTCCCCAGCAACCCCTTCCAGACCTCCCCACCTCTCCCACCAGGAATTCTAGAGTCTTCCTCCAGGTGGCAGAGACCAAGGCTCCAACCACTTGGCCTCACCATCTTGGACCAAAGGAGGTGGAAGCTGGGCGTGTCAAGGAAGGATGGGCTTCACCCACAGAGACCCAGCCTCCAGCTGCTGGGACTTCTGCTCCCTGAGCTGTCTGGCTGTGGGATCTGTGGTTACACTCATCACGTGTAGACCTGGAGTGGAGGGGGTGGGGAAGGGGAGGGGCTGCAGTGGACCAAGACTGGGGGTTGTTGCTGGGAGGGGCCACTGGCAGAAATGAGAACCAAGGGCAATGGGGTATTTTTGGCAGGGTGTGGGCTGAGGGCTGACAGGGTCTCCAAGAAGAGGGCCAATGAAGCCCCCTGGGAAACCACTTATCAGGGCAGGAGAGGGACAGGCAGAGGAGCTGCCCAGAGTCATCAGTGAGTTTAAGGAGACAGAGAATGAAGCTGGGGTTTGTCAGAAAGGCAGTCTCAACCAAGAATGTGCGTGCATGCTAAGTCACTTTAGTGGTGTCCAACTCTGTGCAACCCCATGGACTGTAGCCTGTCCGGCTCCTCTGTCCATGGGATTCTCCAGGCAAGAATACTGGAGCGAGTTGCCATGCCCTCCCCCAGGGGATCTTCCTCATCCAGGGATCGAACCCAGTCTCCTGCATTTAGGCAGATTCTTTACTGCTTGAACCACCAGGGAAGCCCCAAGAATGTAACTGTCCGCAAATGAAGGAGGCAGCAGTCTGTAAGGAGGGTGTTGTGAGAGTGCCCCCATCAGCCCTGGAAGGGACCGGCCCGTGTGCTCACCAGGGCCAGGGCCCTTGCTCCTATGCTTCCGGTTTGCTCTGTGAGGCTGGAGCTGGCAGTGGACCAGGCAGCCCAGGGAAGAGCAAGGTGTGGAGGGGTCGCTGTACTGGGGGAGAGCTGGAGGGCACCCCAAAGTTGGCCAGGGAGTGTGCTGCCCCCTGCAGTCTTCTAGGAGGGGAGACTTAGCCAGCTGCCCACAGTGTCAAGGGCTGAATCCCCCAGGGTCCTTTGGGACCTGCCTGCCTTCTCCTGGCAGTCACCTGGTCCTCCCTCCCCAGGCACTCTGAGACCTGGGTTCTCTGCTCCATCAAAGCCGGAACCCAAGGGCCTCCTGGCCAACAAGCAATCTGCTGATCCCTGGGAGCCCACCCACCCTCTACGGCACTGTCTAGGGCTCTAGGTGCTCTGGCTGCCAAGTCCCAGAAGCACCATCCTCCCTCAAGGTGCTCCAGGCCCAGGCAGGCGCAGTTCCAGGGGATTCCAGGGCAGGGCTCCGGGGAATTCCACTCAAAGAAGGGCGGGAAGGGTCCGCCCAGCCCAGCAGGTGCCCAGCTGCCTTGCTCTGGTGCCAGGCAGGGTTTTGCAG